AGTAGTTGAAGCTAGGTTGAGGCAGGAAGTGGTGATTAGTGAACAACAGTATGGTTTCATGCCTAGGAAGAGTACCACAGATGCAATATTTGCCTTGAGGATGTTGATGGAGAAGTACAGGGAAGGTCAGAAGGAGCTGCATTGTGTATTTGTAGATCTAGAAAAGGCATATGACAAAGTGCCAAGGGAGGAATTGTGGTTTTGTATGAGGAAGTCAGGAGTGGCAGAGAAGTATGTTAGGACATGTATGAGAATAGTACAACAGTAGTGAGGTGCGCTGTTGGGAGGACAGAAGACTTCAAGGTGGAGGTGGGACTACATCAAGGATCGGCCCTGAGCCCCTTCTTGTTTGCTTTGGTGATGGACAGATTGACAGATGAGGTCAGACAGGAGTCCCCATGGACTATGATGTTTGCAGATGACATTGTGATCTGTAGTGAGAGTAGGCAGCAGCTAGAAGAGAACCTAGAGAGGTGGAGGTTTGCACTAGAAAGAAGAGGAATGAAGGTCAGCCGCAGCAAGACAGAGTACATGTGTGTAAACGAAAGGGAGAACAGTGAAATAGTGAGGTTACAAGGAGCAGAGGTGGTGAAGGTGCAGGAGTTTAGGTACTTAGGATCAACTGTTCAGAGCAGAGGAGACTGTGGAAGAGAGGTGAAGAATAGAGTACAGGCAGGATGGAACAGCTGGAGAAACGTGTCAGGAGTGATCTGTGACAGAAGAGTGTCAGCTAAGGTGAAGGGAAAGGTTTACAGGACGGTGGTGAGACTAGGCATGATGTATGGTTTAGAGACAGTAGCAATAGGCAGAAGACAGGAGGAGGAGCTGGAGGTGGCAGAGTTAAAGATGCTAAGATTCTCTTTAGGAGTGACAAGAATGGACAGGGTCAGGAATGAGGTCATTAGAGGGACAACACAGACAGGAAGGTTTGGAGAAAAAGCTAGAGAAGCCAGATTGAGATGGTTTGGACATGTGCAGAGGAGGGACAGTGGATACATTGGTAGAAGAATGTCAGAGATGGAGCTACCAGGTAGGAGACAAAGAGGAAGGCCAAAGAGGGGATATATGGATGCAGTGAGGGAGGACATGCAGATAGTTGGAGTCAGAGTAGAAGATGCAGAGAACAGGGCAATATGGAAATCAATGATTCTCTGTGGCAACCCTTGAAAAACGGGACAAAGCCGAAAGAAAAAGAAGAAGAGGAAGAAGAAGAAGAAAAAGAACAAGAAGAAGAAGAAGAACAACAACAACAAACATAGCAAGATTGTCAGTTTACTGATGTTGCGATGGATGTGATGTGACTCTACCAGGGATGGATAAATCGGTACTTCCTTCCCAAGTGTAACTGAATACATCATTCATCTGCACAGGACATTTTCTAAAAATAGAACTGCATTGTAAGTACCGATGACAAAGGCCCATGCAGCTGCTTTACCTTTACTGTCACATATTTGATTTTTGTCTTCAATTGTGGGACAATAGACAGACAAACAAAAACTCTAAAAACTCCAGAGCTAACAGACATTAACACTAGTTGGCAAAAGGCTTTATCTCATGGATGTAAAAGTGATCAATGTGTGCTACTTTACAAGGCTGGTGGTGTTGAGGTTAAGTAGTTTTTTATGGTTTTAAGTTACAGCTCTCCTCTGGTACAGGAATGCAGATGAAAGCACTTACATGATGGTCTGTGTTCAGGTCAGCTACAGTTCTGATTCTGAAGGGCTAAGGATGCACTGTGTTTTAATTTTTAATCCGTAGAGCTGATTCCTAACCCTTTTATAAACAATTGTATATACCCATCCCATAGCACACCAGCAATTTCAGATTACTCACAATTTACTTACTCAATGAGAAACCGGATCCTGTTTAATTTAACACAATACTGGTATACCAGCAGGAAATATATGTCCCTCTTGTTTTATTTTTTTACAGTCACCTGCTGGTACCTAGTGGAAGAGTGTTTGATTGTTCTGCCTGTCACTGTTGCACGACTAGCTGAGCTAGGACAAATTATTTTTCCCGTAAATATATTTTTCAGTTTGATAGTACAATATTGCTAATGATTAAACTAATTCTCTGTCAGAGTAAAATGTTGCCATAAGAACTACTAATACATCTAGCTATACAGCTTTAAAGACTAAGCTTTGTTCATTTAACATATGTAGTGGATTGTGGTTGACATAACTAAGGCAGGTGTCAATCGTGCTGGGGCACTGAAGGACAGAGTACAATAGTACTCCAAACAAGAAAACTGAAAGAGGTACTGCAGATGAACATACTATTATATTTGCTTCCCAGTGATTGACTACAATAAGCTGCTCTACCTCTCCATCTCTCATTTGGCAAGTCATTTTTGGTTCCGCGCCAAATTTCTCCAGTTGCTCTCTGTGCCTCTAAATTCTCCAGTGGAAACAGAGATGAGCATAGTAATGTGCCGCAGCCATTAAATCATACCTAATGTATCCTCCCTGATGTTTAGCACCAGTCAAGTACATTAAGAACACTTCATGATGACATCTCATCCTTCTAGCCTTCCTGTCTGCAGAGACCCCCTCTCCTCTCCTCTCCTGTCCTGTCCTCTCTTGTCCTGTCCTGTACTGTCCTGTCCTGTCCTGTCCTGTCCTGTCCTGTCCTGTCCTGTCCTGTCCTGTCCTGTCCTGTCCTGTCCTGTCCTGTCCTGTCCTGTCCTGTCCTGTCCTGTCCTGTCCTGTCCTGTCCTCTCTCCTCTCCTCTCCTCTCCTCTATCTGTGCTGTACCTACCTTCCTGCAGGATGTGTGTTGGCTGCACTGCCTTCACTCTGTAATGCCTTGCTCTCCATCCTGGACTAGGAGACTCGGCAATCTCCCTGTCACTCAGCCAGGTCACCGTTTCGAAGTTGTCTCCATTAGCCAGAGCATCGACCTCGGCGCTGTGGACGCCCACCTGTTGGAACTGATGCAGACCCCCTGAGTGGTCAAAGTGGGCGTGGGTGGCAATGGCCAGCAGCGGATTTTTCCTCTGCGGGTCTTTCCCCAGCAGCCCATTGGCGTCAATATAGTCAGGTAAGCTCCTCAAGCCCAGACCGGTGTCTATCACCACATCTTGGTGGGAGCCTCGGAGCAGCCAGATGTTGGCCCGGTTCTCCGACTGGAAGAATCGCTCTTGGATCCAGAAGAGTCCGTCTCCGAGCGATTTGTGTGCGTACCAGTCGACTGCAGACATCCCCAGTCATGCGCTCGTCGAAACAGGCCGGAGTGGGCGTCGAGCTGACAGGTAGAGGAGCTGTGGTTGAGCAGTTAATGGCCTCTTTGCTCAATAAGCTGTGTTTCCATTGACGCCAACGTCACAGTGACCACGGCCACACCCTTCTGTCAAAACAGCAAACTCATTGGTCGAAGCAGTGAGTCACGAAGGTCTTAGACAGGCCGGTATTGGAATAAAAATAAGTCCCACCTTCTTACGCTATGGTACAACACTCGTTCTTAGCAGACGCCGCCACATTGGTCCAGGCCATAAACCGTTAGCTATTATTATTATTATTATTATTGGTAGTAGAAGTATTATTATTATTATTAATAATAATAATAATAATTTGTGTATTTTGCCCAAAGATAACTCTTCAAGCAGATGGATAGAAAAATGGCGGAAGTAAACAAAATGGATATACGAATTACTAATACTTTACTACATTACTAGGGCAATAATACCTATAATAAAGACAGAAAAATCAGTCCCAACTTTTTATTGTTTTACCCTATTTAACAAAAAGCCAAAAGATCCAAACACCGATAAGCAGATAACGGTGCAATTATTATTTAGTTGGAAGGTACTGTTATCATTGCGATCATATTGGATAAACATAAATAAATTATAATAACAATGACATCAATGTAATGACTAATAACTCCTGTTCGTTTTCTAAATGTATACATTTGTCATTAATATAATCATGCCTAACAACCCCTTGACGAATTCCTTTAGTTTTAGCCAGGACCAATATGGCGACAACGCGCCTTCCTATTGGTTGAACGGTTAGTGACTCATACTTTGGACCAGTAGAACGTTTGGGAAAAAGAAATCACGCCCCCTTCGTCGTACGCAGGGCGGGGTCTACTGAAGGCGTTAAAAACACCTTCCACGCGTTTGCTGCGCGTTGTACTAATTTGTACGCCGGCTTTAGCGATTTTGAAGGGAGCAGGTTCGGTTTTAGCTATAATATATACAGCAGTTTGTTGCCTACCGAACTCGAGAAAAGAAAGGTTTAACTGAAAGCCAAATCAAGTGATCAGGGCTAGACTGGCGCTGTAAATAGACCTCGTTTAAATGGACAATATAGTCTGAACAGTTTTCTGTGCAGTTTAATAACACCCCACTAGTAAGTATTACCAACAATTAGCTTTGAAAGGTGGTGAGTCCGTGGTCTTATATTAATGTACCATAGAGAGAAGATGACACAGTGTCACAAACCTGCTTTGGTGTTTACACATGCTGCACGCTGACGGTGACGTTTACATGTCGGGATGACGCGTGGTTTGTGTGGTGCGATTATTTTAACAGTCATGGCAGGAAAAGGTCGTGGAGTCGGTTCTTTTACGTTCAACATTGAGGCTTTGGGCATCGGCAGGGGCAGTATGCCAGAGGCCAGGGTGGGGCCCAGCCCTCTGTTCCCGGTGAGTCTCTTTATCCTCCCTCCCCTCCTGTACACCATGAAAACCAGTGCTCTTTGTAGAGTATTTTAACTTTACTAGATTTGTGTAAATGTTGTAGGACATTGATAAATTAAATCAGTGTTGTGTTAAACTATACTGAGTATACTAATTTCTTGTTTGTAAAATAAACAAAACTAGGAAGTTCAGGTCTTCAGTTATTAACTACAGATCAGAACAGTTACCTGGGTATTTTAGGTATTGTTGGCCATTATTAGTTAGTTGTACTGACCTAATAAATGAAATGGACATAAAACTGTGACACATAACTGAAGTTACCATTTTTTTTCCCTCATTTGTCCAGAGCACAGATGTTAAACCTGTGCCACTGAAGGCTGGTGAAGATGAAGACTACATGTTGGCTTTGAAACAGGAGATGAGGGGAACAATGCAGAGGCTACCTCACAACATCAAGCATCACAACAAAGTTGCAGGTGAGAAGGGGAGTGATGCATTAGAAACCTAACATCTCACAATAATCTGAAGGCAAGGAAATTGGTTTCAGTGAAGAGAGATAATGCAGCACTTTAGAATTTGACATTTAACCAGGTCTGGGGAAATGTTATCAAAGCATACTTCTGGGAGTATTTAGTTGCAGCCTTTATCAAATCCAACCAATTTAATGTGATGATATAGAGTAATCCAACATGTAAAGAACCTTCAGAGTTATTCCAGAATACTACTCAAATAAGGCGTCTTTTTTAGAGGCACTTTTCTCTTTAAAGGAAGCAATTACAATATTTTCAATCACATTGTCATCAATCATAATTTAAATTGTGGTAAAATGTGATTTATAAGAGATTTTAACAATTATGTAATATATTTAAGTAATTATGTCAAATATAAAACCACAGCTATTTGCCACTGCCAGGCTATTGTTTTAGCTAGTTTGGTATTGGAAAAACAGAAAGAATAAGGGAGCACAAATATTTTAAATGGTACGTTTTAGAGCAACAGCAAGGTCTGTACTGCATTTAGTAGTTCTTCCCCTTTGTAGTATTGTGGTGATTTTACTCTGTAGTGTTCACTGGTAACTCTGGTATAACAGATAAAACTAAAATAAAAATGTCCACACAAAAGTGGTACCTTTTGTCATTTTGTATTCATGTACAGTAGGCAAACCCTAAATTCTCTGTGGTTGAAATGCATGATGACCCAAGTCCAAAGCCAGTAGTTATCTACATTTCACCCCTTATGTGACCCATTGTATGTCTTTTTTTCCGTGGACCTTATATGTTCCCATTCATAATAATTTCAAATTGTCCATGTCTACAAACTTCCAAAAGCCTTTATACATGTATACACAACACTGCCTCATTATGTTAGTGCTTGTTGTGTAATGCATGTAAGAATGATGTATTTTGAGCTTGCTGTGGAGATTTATGTCTGTCACTGTAGGCTGGCATTAAAACCACCAGGTATATTCACTACAACAAGGATCTTAAACTGCTGGCCTGCGGGCAAATTCTAGCCCGTGATCCACCCGTCTGGCGTGCAACTGTCAGTTATAATGTAATCTGACTCCTGCTGTGGGGCCTCAGCTGAATTTTTAGAGTCTAAAATTTAAAGATTTAAAATCTAAAATTCAGACCCATGCACCACAATATTTGGAGTAATCACACCAATGTTAAAATATTTCCTATCATTTAAGACTGTCTTCAAGTGACATTTTACTGATGTTTATTTCTGTTGTTTACATAAAATAGATGTAGAGAGATACACAGAGCGATATCTAAGGCAAAAACAGATCATGGCTCAAGAATGGACTCCAGGTATTTGCATTCATATGTGTATTGGAATTTAAGAAGGTACAGTGGGAAAAAAAACACAGTATACTGAATGCTTTCGTTTTGTTTTAGACTGGAGCTGTTTCCCTAAAGAACTGATGCCACAGAAAAGAAAACCTTGGGTCAAAGCAGGTATATTGGAAAGCAGAGTTGAAGATTGTTCTGTACTTTTACACAAGCATAAGAGTTCATGCTATACTACAACAGGTGCTAAGAAAACAAAGACAGTACAAGGCAAAGACACAAAGGATGTGCTGACTAAATTAGATGTAAGCCTTCTCACTTGATCTGTTTGTGATAATTGTGGAGTAATTGTTGAAAAAAAACATTTATTTAATAATATTTCAGGAACTGGCAAAGGTAGAAGATGGAAAAACAGAAAAATCAGATGATGAGACAGAAAAGAAACCAGGAGAAGAGGATGACGAAGAGGAGGGTGTGGGAGAGGAAGAATACGAGGAAGAGGATATAGAAGAGGTGAGAAATTTTGAAGTCAAAATCCATGTTTATGGTAAACTTAAGTTTTGTGATGGACATAAAGAAGACTTTTTTTCTGTTTTCACCTGCAGGACAATGACTACATAGAAAGCTATTTTGACAACGGTGAAGACTTTGCTGCGGACAGTGATGACAACATGGATGGAGAAGCAACCTACTGAGCCAACAGTATGCTGAAGTAAATGATCAGACTTTTCTTTTTGTAAAAAGCTGTAGATGTTTTTCTTTTTGTTAGAGCTCAGGTCAGCCTTTTCCTTAAATATCTAATGTAAAATAAGAAATACCAAACTGTGTGTGAACTGGCAATAATTTATTCAAAATAGATGTATTTATTTTCCAGCCTGTAGCCCATTTTCCACAGGTTGAAAGGCACATATTACATACAAAATGCTTCGTCAAAAAATCGAAACACTGATCAAATAAAAAGGGCTATATACAACAAAGTCAGAAAATTCTGTAATTACTAGAACAAGTCATCATTTTTTTGGGAATTCTGTGCATTTCCCGTTATTCTCACCAGACAAGGTGTTTTTGTCTTTCAATAGAAAAAGTACATTTTCTGTCCAGGTAGATTCAAATAAAAACAAATTCACAAAGGTTTGATGGAACCAAATAAACACAATTGAATTGGTAACTTTCAATACTGATAGTTTAAATAAATCCAATGGTCTGACACAAATCTGTGTATTAAAACAGCATTTTCAATTCAGTCTTCACAAGCACTAAAAATTAAGAACCTGACAGAGGGGTTAAACACTGTTGGATCAGATTAAAGAGGTTTCATTAAAAATAAACACAGAGTATTGATTGGTTTGGACCCTGGTCACAGACATCTTACTAGAAATAATGCTTAATATTTTAATGGTGCTTGGTAAAAACAAGGCAGTCCAGATGAAAAGTATTCTCTAGATTTATGAAAATCTAAAAACTATTTGGATATCAACTATCCTCAATTCAAAAAGCAGCCTTTGTTTAGTTGAATCTATCCAAACGTGTTTGTCTACACAGACACAACCATACAAATTTTCAGCCAAACAATGCTCACAGCAAAAAGTCCATAACAAATTGCATTGTTTTAGGTCAATGACAAGAGTTCATAACTGAAACACTCATCTTTATTAGTCTCTCATCTTGATATAAACTTTGTAAAGGGAAGAAAAAGAAAACTTGCTATGTCTTTTCATGGCCTATGTTTTTACCAATCCCTGCTTTGTCCACATCTTTAACCACAATTTCAACATGTCCTGGAGCAGCTCCTGCATTGTTATCCTTTTTAATTGAAATGTCCAAATTATTGCCATTGAGATTTCCAGGAGCCATGTTCTCGCCTGTTTGTACGCTATTGCCATGATGGCTTACCTCGACTTTCATTAAGACCTCGTAGTACAGCAGGTAAAACACAGGCGTGATGATACCGACAACCAGCATAATGACCACTGCCGTCCACCATCTCATACCCCAGTCTGCCCCATAGTAAGGGTCTTTCCGTTGAACGGGCTTGTACTCTACTTCTGCTAGCAGTGGCTGCTGCAGTGTTAGAGAGGAAACCACCTCATTCAGGCTGCTCCGAGAAGGGCCGGTGGATTTAACCAGACGCTCAATGTCCTTGTCCTTCTCCAGGAGGAAACCTTCTACACTGTCCGTAGAGGACGAAGAGTCTGTGGAGAACTCAGAAGGCAGCAAGGGAACCGGTGAGGTCTGAGGCAGTCGCCTGGCACCTGTGGGTGTGGGAGGCTTAAGAGGACCAGTGCTGTGAGTCTCAGTCAAGACACTGAAACGCTTCACAGGAATCTTTACTGACCGCAGGGCAAAGAAGTCCTGCTCTGTCAGGAGGTTGTTGGCACGCTTGATATCTGCAACCTAAAAAACAGGAGATAATTATTTGATTTAATGAAAAATACTAATAAATGTAATTTGTGATGAAGATCTGATTACTCCAATTTTAAGTAACAGTCATAATTAATTAAAAACAGCTACACTGTGATTTCATTTTAATGAATCGGTAGCCATATTCAAAAAGAGAGAACAGCTAAAACAGTTAAAATAGTTATTATATCTGACACTAGAGCCAATGGACATAGTTGTGACAGGTCCTCACTAAAAAGCTTTTGTCTAGGTCTTTATCTGATGCTTTTAAAATAATTTAGGAATAAAATTATAACTGTAAATTGTTGGCTTATATAAGTACAGTGTAAGTTCAAGTTACAGTCTACCTCGTGGCTGAGGCTATAATGTGGTTGAGCAGCTCCTTCTCACCATTCCTGTCTAAGACTTTAACCAGATCCTGGATACTCTCTACACTAAAAGGCTCCTAGCTAGAAAAGTGCACTTTTTGGGCAGTATGGCATGTTCCAAGGTTGCAACATATTATTAATAGACATATTATGAAATACATTACGGCTTGTGCCTTCACCAACTATAATAAATGGCCCTCAACTCATTTGAAAATAAATTCTGTGGATGTTAATTTGAGTTTGAGTACCCCCAGTAGAGAGCAATTTAATGCTCAGAGACGTGGGGTGTGGGATGCTGCAAGGATTTATTTTTGCAATAATGAAGGCACCACTGGCATTTCCCCTTCTATGTTTATTTCATTTGGCTGAACGGACTTAGCCAATTAGATGTTATGTCTTAAAGAAAACAAACTGCTGGTTCTTCTTACCTCACTTTAGAGTTGCAGAGTGGGGTTTGACTATTTTAAACCTTATTGGTTATATCAATGAACAGACTTACTGAACAATGGTACTGCAGAGCAATGCTATTCAGAGTGTCACCCTCCTGGATGTCTCTGGTTAGGTAGATAATATCATCAGTCCTCTCTCTGGATGTGCTCCTCCGTTGTCGTTCTTTGCCACGAGGCCGAAGCTCATAGATCTCACCGTCCTCCTCTGACAGGTCATTCTCTGAGCCATTGTTTGCAAATAGATAGGCAGGACCGCCATTGACAGGCTGCACCACGGTGGCTGACTGGAATCCATAGTGCTGGCTTCTACTGGACATTTTTACTGTATTGAAAAAAAAAAGCAAAAGCTAGACCTGAATCTTAAATGAAAAAGCACATTGTGAAGCAGAATGCTACTGTAGCAAACCACAACATATTTACGGTTTCGTGTTCAGGAGGCAAGAGTTACCACAAATACACATTTAGATGAAGTGTCGGAGCCTGTTTACCTGCATTTTAAAAGGTGTGACATGTACACCTGTAATATCTTGTAATAATAAGTAGGGTATGAGAAGGGCTGAGAACATGACAACCTGTGCTGATGTATAAACACACACACAGAAGTTTAACGGGCTAATATACACTCACCGGCCACTTTATTAGGTACACCTGTCCAACTGCTCGTTAACACTTAATTTCTAATCAGCCAATCACATGGCGGCAACTCAGTGCATTTAGGCATGTAGACATGGTCAAGACAATCTCCTGCAGTTCAAACCGAGCATCAGTATGGGGAAGAAAGGTGATTTGAGTGACTTTGAACGTGGCATGGTTGTTGGTGCCAGAAGGGCTGGTCTGAGTATTTCAGAAACTGCTGATCTACTGGGATTTTCACGCACAACCATCTCTAGGGTTTACAGAGAATGGTCCGAAAAAGAAAAAATATCCAGTGAGCGGCAGTTCTGTGGGCGGAAATGCCTTGTTGATGCCAGAGGTCAGAGGAGAATGGCCAGACTGGTTCGAGCTGATAGAAAGGCAACAGTGACTCAAATAACCACCCGTTACAACCAAGGTAGGCAGAAGAGCATCTCTGAACGCACAGTACGTC